CTACTCCTCGTGTGTCTCGTNACGTGCAGAGAGAGAGAGAGAGAGAGAGAGAGAGAGAGATTTGTAAAATCAGCTCAAAACAGAAATAATATGTGCAAATGCAAAGTTATAGTAAAAAGTTCTTAAAAAGCTTGCATTTGTTCAGGGTTATATATAGACAAATTTGCTCAATTGGACATCATTTGATGAATTCAAACGTTGCATGCCTTAAGTGCAACTATATTAGGATCTTTCTTCTTCATACCTTTATCAAAACTTTGAACTTAGTTATGTTTTCAAGACTCAAATCTTTTCATAATTGTTCTTTCAAATCTTTTCATAATTAATTGTTCTTACTTTTCACAATGTACAATAATAAAGCATGTTGCTCATTCTTTTAAAAATCTTTCTATTATGGAATTGCTTTTTTTACTTGTGAGAAAGAGTTCGTCAAACCTAAAGATAGTGTACGATCTGGGCTGTTTCCCTCTCGACTTTGGATCTTAGCACCCAAAAAGTCTGTCTGTGCAAATGATCTAGGCCAGCTCTTGGAGTTTCCCTGGGGTTGGTCAAGCTTTTTGGGGGCCACCCTAGCCCATTGAGTGCTCTGCCTCGGGCCATTGACATCATATGCTCTACTGAAGTAGATTTCGCAGAAACAAGCTATATCCGATCCTGGTTGGCGTTTCACCCATATGCAATCCGTTGTTAATTGAGATAATTGGCATCATCTGCAATAAAAGATTATCCCATTTTACAGTGCTGTAGATCATGTGCAAGCCATTGGGATAAGTCTCGGATGATGACGATGATGTATATATATATACATATATAATACTATATATATATATTATATATTTATTTATGTGTATGTATGTTCACTTAAGCCTTCTATTTAGTCCAGTAACTGAAAATTCATAAGAATTTCAAGTGGAGAGTGAATACATAAATGTATGTATGTATGTATGCATCCATATGTATGTGAGGCCACATATATGTATGTGTGTATTTATGTATGTATTTTATATATGAAGCATTTATATGGTCTCGTATTGATGTGTTATGTGTGGCATACACCACTTTATGGGGAGCCATGTTAGGCACAACATGGCCGTGTTTGAAGTGGACGCACGTGTATGTGTCCTTGTAATATAGTTTCTTGCATATGACCAAAATAACATACATTACAACATGATAGCCAG